TGTTTTTGAGGATAAGAACCATAAACAATCAGTTTTAGACCGAAAGGCTTTTTTGCACTTGATTTAAATGATAGATTCAAAGTCAGTTGTTTTTAATTCCCCTTTATAATATTAGTACACGGTTTACTTATTTATTTATTTATTTATTTTTTTAATAAAGTGAATGTTAGGTTTTGCCATATAGATTGATCAATTATACTGTTTGCTTTTTTGGTGTTATGTTAACTAATATGCAAGGAATATCTTGGGTACACCAATTAGGACAGACCTTTAGATTTTGACAGAATGTTAAATCTCAGATTAGTTAGGTCTTCTATTAATTAGGGATTGAGATCTTTTTTATTATTTCTTCAAGTCTGTCATTTTTATTTTTGGATTGTCTTGTTCCCACATTTTTTATTAACCTGATTACAAAATATTTGAATTGACTCTTGACAGGAATCAACATCATGCCTGTATTACTGTTGTCATATGGGGAGCATTTCACATTGTTTTTTTTAAGATACAATCCCTTCATATTAATCTCAGAAAAGAAAACAGAGATTCTATTTAAGCCTTTGGAAGAATTCTTTTTTTTTTTTTTTTTTTTTTTTTGAGAAATCACTGTATCATCTTTAAATTGACTCTTCTTAAACTTACTGTAGTATTAAATATTTATATACTTTCTACATCTTTGTCATTTATTTTAAAATTAGCAAATAGCTGTACATAGAGAATAAATAGTGTTGGTGAGATTTGGCATCACTGATTAACTGTAAAATATCCTTATTGTCCTTGTTAGGATAGTTATCATTGATGATGTGTGAGTTTATTACACCCTAATATTACCTGTCTGTTGTGTGTCAGAATGAATGTTTTCCCCAGTAGTTTATCTATTTAGGACAGTTCCTCTGTCCAGATATACAGTTATCATCTTCATTTTGTACATGGCAAAGATTTGGGAATGGAATGAGAAAAGTGTCCTTCAGCTAAGAATAAAGTGTAATATTTTGATAAGGCTTAAGGCATGGATGTCTCCTCATCTTCAAACATGTATGATGTGATGATGTGGCAGACTGGAGATGTATAAAATGCTTCTCAAACTTTTTATTGGGGCCCACTGCACGAGATGTGAGCCCGGTTGGAAAGCGTTGCCTTCTGTAACTGAAAGCAACTTCTCTGATCTTATGTCAGTAAGATTAGAATTTCTATCAAAATATGTTGTCATGTCTCATGGTTATTTAATGCATATACATTATGAAGTGTTATTTAAAGAGCTGGTCCTGAGTGATCTCTTTTCAGGAAAAACAACACGAGAGAGAAAGCTTCAAGGTGTAAACGCAGAGCTTTCCTTTAACACCCTTTAGCAATTATGTAATCAATTCAGCTTTCATTTTTTGGGATTGTGGACTCTGTTTATACACTCCAAATATGAGTTAAATGATGTTTATACACTCCAAATATGAGTTAAATGATAAATGCTTTATCTCTTACCAAAAAGTCTTAAAAAACTCAGTAGATATGTTGTCAGTGCTGAGTCTCAATACTTTTCAATTATCACAGAGCAAGTTTATTGTAAAGAAATCGATAAAATTTGAGTTAAAACGTGAATAATTTTTTAACCCTTTTCTAAATTACATTATGCATTTTATATATTACATTATACATACTTATTGAGTTTGAAGGTACGCATAATTCCTCTTAAGTATCTCTAATATGTTTATGAGAGAGCTTGCAGTGGTTCCGTGTGATGACACCTGCCAAAGACTCCTGACAGAATCAACAAGTTCTTCCATAAGTGATTAGTGATTATATAGAGGCTGCAGTTGCTCAAAAATGTTTGAGGTTACTTCTGGCTTTATCATTTATAAGATATATTTATATGTGTTATTTAATATTTTACAAAATGTTATGGTACATTGGATTATCTAATGATGTATTGAAAACATTAATGTTACATTTAATAATGGTATATGTAGTGATTTTAAGGAGAAATGTATACCTATATTTCAATATTTTCTAGTGTATGCTTTCTGTACAGGGGCCATAACAACATGTTGGGTCCTGTCTAAAAACCCCTATCCATGGTACATTTAGATTTTTGTTCATGACATGTTTATTTTTTTTTTTTTATCTGTGTCTCCTTCAAACCTTCATGCTTTTTGTATTTTATGGATTTAAAAGTGCTCCCTAAGCTGTTATAATGCATGTGCCACTTGGTGTTGATCTATCACTTTAAAAAAATGATATAAACTAAACACAGGCATGTGGCTAAGGGACAAAAAATGGAAAATGTAAAAAAAGAGGAACAAATGCCTTTGCAAGCCACAGCAAAGGAACAAGGAAAATAGTTCAGCCTTTAGATCAGTACTGTTGGTGGATACAGCTGGTCTCCCAAACTAAGTCAAGCAGAGAGAGTTTCACATATAACAACATCTATCAATATTAATAGAACAGAATAAAAATGTTTATTCTTATTGTAAAAAAAAAAAGGTGTACAACAAGGTTGATGCACAAAGTAAATACATTTTAACAAAGTAAATAGTAAATAATCATCAACTAAGAAAACTAACTGATTTATCATTGACTGATTATTATTCTGAAACTATATACACTATATGTACTGTATGTTAATACCTGGGAGTTTGTTGTTCCACACATGATGTGAACCCCCCCAAATGACCTGATGCAGCGGCATCGAGCAACGAGAGGGCAACAGGCCAAATACAAAAATAAGACAATCCTTTATAGAAAATGGTTTGATAGGGGAATATTACTTGTAAGCCAATAACTAAATCCATATGGTCATTTATTGTCTTATTCTGACTTCATGTCACTTTTACAATTTCCTGTTACCCCTAAACAATATGCTGCTGTGTTTGACGCAATCCTTAGTGGGTCATTAAAGCTTTTATCATCTTTACCCACACGTCAAATTTACTCAGTGCCAAGTTTTGATCCAAACTGCATTTATATTGATTATGATTGTCCTTTTATAAGTAAGAAAACAACCAACAAAAGGTTAAGAAATATTCTATTACGAGATGTTGTTTTTTCACCAGCTTGTATATTTTATTGGTCCAACACTTTTGAAAATATAAATTGGAAGTGGACTTGGTTGCTCCTTAAAAAAAAATACTACAATAAAGTAAGAGAAATTTCTTATAAAATTATTCATAATGTTTATTTTTGATAAAAATATATAAATGGGATTTTGACCAAATGTGTACTTTTAAAAAAAAACAATGAAGAAAAGTTTATTCATCTTTTTTGGGATTGTAATTGTAGCAAAATATTCTGGAGAGATATTTCAATTTTTTTCATCAAAAAAAAAAATCTTAACATTACTTTAACANATCAGTACTGTTGGTGGATACAGCTGGTCTCCCAAACTAAGTCAAGCAGAGAGAGTTTCACATATAACAACATCTATCAATATTAATAGAACAGACTAAAAGTGTTTATATTGTAAAAAAAAAAAAAAAAAAAGGTGTACAACAAGGTTGATGCACAAAGTAAATACATTTTAACAAAGTAAATAGTAAATAATCATCAACTAAGAAAAATGACTAATTTATCATTGGTTAATTACTGTTCTGAAACTATATATACTATATGTACTTACGGAAGAGGATTAGGGCCAATGGAAAAAAAAAAAAGTTAACTGATTTTTAAATTGTATTTCACTTTAACATATCTAAGAATTCTGACTTTTTTTATTGTTGGAATTCAGTCAGACTTCTGAGAAAAAAGTCAGAATTCTGACTCTAATCTCAGAATTCTGACTTTTTTTCCCATACTAAACTGAAATAAAATGTAAACATCAGTTAACTTTTTTTTTTTTTTTTTAGTGGCCCTAATCCTCTTCCGTATGTACTGTATGTTAATACATGTACATGACGTGAACGTACCAAATGACCTGATGCAGCGGCATCGAACAACGAAAGGGCAACAGGCCAAATACAAAAATAAGACAATCTTTTATAGAAAATTGTTTATATATAAATATTATAAATATTACTTGTAAGCTAATTACTAAATCCATATGGTCATTTATTGTATTATTTTGACTTTATGTCACTTTTCCAATTTCCTGTTACTCCTAAAGAATATGCTGCTGTGTTTGACGCAATCCCTAGTGGGTCATTAAAGCTTTTATCATCTTTACCCACACGTCAGATTTACTCAGTGCCAAGTTTTGATCCAAACTGCATTTATATTGATTATGATTGTCCTTTAATAAGTAAGAAAACAACCAACAAAAGGTTAAGAAATATTCTATTACAAGATGTTGTTTTTTCACCAGCTTGTATATTTTATTGGTCCAACACTTTTGAAAATATAAATTGGAAGTGGACTTGGTTGCTCCTTAAAAAAAAAATACTATAATAAAGTAAGAGAAATTTCTTATAAAAATTATTCATAATGTTTATTTTTGATAAAAATATATAAATGGGATTTTGACCAAATGTGTACTTTAAAAAAAAAAACAATGAAGAAAAGTTTATTCATCTTTTTTGGGATTGTAATTGTAGCAAAATATTCTGGAGAGATATGTCAATTTTTTTCATCAAAAAAAAAAATAATAATCTTAACATTACTTTAACAGATAAGGATGTTTTGTTTGGGATGGAGAAATGTGAACTTGACAAAACAGAATTTTAATATGTTGTAAATAGTTATTTTTATTATTATTTATGGTAAATATCATATTCACACCTCCAAATATTTACAACAAAAAATTAATTTCCAGATTTCATCATCTTCTATTAATATCTATGGCATATAGAATCATTAACATTTAGTTCAAATGCTAAAGCCATGCAAATTATAACTGCCCTTAAAGAATTAAAACCCTCGAATATAGATTTGATTTTGAAATTTTAAAATAATTTGTTGTTGTATATGTTTGTAATTATTAATGTTTTATATTTTCATGTATGTTTTTTGTAATTAAAAAGGGCGACAGGCCTCTCTAAACTACATTACCCAGAAGTCAGTGCGCGCGTCAACAGAAACAGCTAGGATGTTGCGATAATGCTGGCAGCCAAAGATTGCTGTGGTTGCAGAGATTAGACGCCTGTGTCGAAACCTCAGTTAGTTAGTAACGTTTTAGCGGATGACAGACGCAGCGGTTACACATTTGCACCAGAGACGCATACTCGTCACCGTTCAACTCGACGCTTATCGGGGGCTGCTTCGCGCTAAAGGCGTCAGCGAGCGGAAACCATATAGTTTTATATATTTATATATAAAAGGAAGCAATTAAATAGCAGCACGGACAGTTAGCAATGAGGCAACAAACCCTCGCTCCACTTTCCTGAAGGATGGGAACAGCTTTTCGGGTCGCGCTGTCGCAGTTACCCGGAGGATACATCTCGTTTGAAGACATTTTCTTCAGAGTATAACCTGGATAACCTTACACGAAATGTCATAGCGCTTTAACGGCTAGCACTGAGCTAGCTCGGTAACGGCTGGACGAGATGGAGATGGAGCTATTTTTCCTCAGCAGCCTACCATGAACAGCTGGCTTGCTGGTTAAAGGAGCACTTTTTTTCTCTCCCGGAGATGCTTTAACCTCCTGGGCGGTTTAATACACTTACATAACTGCTAGCTCTAGTTATTACCAACTGGCTTGTGTTGGCAGGCAAATGGGAAATTTCCCTAAAAGAATCTCACATCATCACCACCACAAGTAAAGAAAAAAAAAAGGAAAAATAGAGGTATTATTTGCATATTTTTGAGAGACCAGAATAGACTGTGGAGAAGTTTACATTGGGAGCGGAGGTTCTGATATATCGCTGCACATCAGAGGGTAAAGGAACAGCATCTTCCCTGCTGCCATTTCGACACCATGAGGAAGTTCTTTGATTCCCGTCGGGAGTTGGTGAGCTCTGGGCCTGGTTCTGGAGGAGGGGGCAGCAGCTCTGGGTCCAGTCACGCCGGAGGAAATTTCATTGGCAGAGCCTTCACGGTCGGGAGACACCAAGTCACCGTAGAGGAGATCATTGCTGAAGGTGAGACCGAGACTGAACTGCCCAGATCACATCTATTGATCCAGGTTTTTACTCTTTATTTATTTTTGTTTGGCAAAGGTATCAGGGGCATTTTTTTATGAATTGGGCCTTGGCCAGGAACCCAAATTCAGCAAAAAATAAAATGGTCATAATTTAATTTGATGACAATAATAATAAAATAATCTATTTAGGAAAGATAAGTCTTAAGATATTGCAATTCGATTCAGTTTATTTATATAGCGCCAATTCACAGCACATGTCATCTCAAGGCACTTTACAATTCAACCTGATCATAAGGTCAAATTGATTCAAAGGAAAACCAGCTGATCGCATTGACTCATTGACTAAGGGCAATCCCTCACACTAAGCATACTTGTAGTGACAGTGGAAAGGAAAAACTCCCTTTTAACAGGAAGAAACCTCCAGCAGAACCAGGCTCAGTGTGAGCGTCCATCTGCTCAGGCCGACTGGAGTTTTAGGAGACAGAGATACAGAAGCAGAGATACAGAAAGAAGCAACAAAAGGCAACTGACAACCAGTTACTTTTATATTTATATATATTTAGTCTTCTCAAAGACTAAATATTTGAGAAATAATTTATAGACGTATGAAAACAAAACACAGACTATCTCTTTAATGCAGCACTTTATGATAACTTTGAATCAGATACAAAAGTAAGCATTATTACGCAACGGATCTGAAATGGCCAACTGATATCACATGTAAGAAGTGTTGCAGGATTTTTCCTCCTTAATGGCAATCTCTAGCCTGATAAACCAGACTAAATGTGAGATTAAATGTGTAATTTAGTCTGGCCCTGATGAATGAGACATCGGAAGATTGTTGAGAACAACCCGTTGTTTTTCAAACCATGTCTGTGCCTATTGGCCAACGCTCTGACCAATGAGCGCAACTGACTGTGACGTAGTATGCCAGAAAGCTGGTGGGAGACTGTAAACCAGAGGTGGGCAATTCCAGTTCCTGAGGGCCGCTATTCTGCAATTTTTAAATGTGTCTTTGGTTCAGCACACCTGAATCAAATAATTAGATGATTGAGAGGACTCTGGAGGAAGTGACTGCATACTAAGGAGGTAACCGAGCCATTTAATTCAGGTGTGTTGGAGCAAGGATGGATCTAAAAGTTGCAGGATTCTGGCCCCCAGGAACTGGAATTGCCCACCCCTGGTGTAAACAAACAGCCTGTCGGTAAAACGGCGAATGCGTCCTTCTCAAAAATGAATGAGCGTAGATCCTCTTCCTGCTCACGTTTCAACTAAAATCCCAAGTCTAATCCTTCCAAAACTGATTCCAAAGCTGAGTCAAACGAGAACTGTTCAATAGTTGTTGCCACCTTCCTTGTGCTTTCTCCAGCGTCGCGCAGCTTTGTCGTCACACCCTCAAAACCCCGCCTGCTTTGCATCCAGGAATTCAAAACACATCTCTGCGTTGTGATTGGCCCGCCAGTTCTAGGGCCTGGGGCATTGTTCAAGGCTAGACCAAACTCGCAGGCAAAAATGCTTTTGGCTGCTGGCAGGTGGTACTAGTTTACAAGGCAAGGCAATCGAAGCATTTGCTAATTAAATGAGGTCAGGGTTGACCATATCATTTTTGGACTAAAGCAACCTGTTATCTTTTTATCAGTTAGCTGATTTCATTTGTGAAGGGAAAAGATGCATACTACCCCTCATTCATAGAGTAACTGCAGGACTCAATGTTAACCATCGCCCGATCTCCCTGGGCAAGTAGTTTTTATTGTAGGGATAGTACAAATTTCATTGCATTTGTCCGCCGGGCAAGAGCAATGATTGCAAAAAAAATTATTTATCACTCAAAATTACTTTAAAATCACCAACATTCGATGAAAACGATTGCCGCGTTGCCGCACCATTTTTGTTGTTTTGTACACATTCTCGCGTGATTTGAAAAAGCCGGGTGATTTTCCACCAGATGGCATGATTTTTGTTCACATAGCGGTAATTTTGATGTAGTTACCAAAACGTCAAACGGCTGCATTTATTTTGTCAGGGAAAACTAATCCTGAGTCAGTTAAAAGTCAAGGAATTCTGAAATTATGTAAGACTGTGGAAACCCTGAATAAAATAACTATGTATAATGATTCTCTAGAAAAGTCACATTATATTAATAGTATTATTTTGTATAAATATACCGTGACTCTTAAAATAAAAGTTATTCATTTGTGACATTGACTTCTGTCTTGTGATTTATCTTAAGTTTTTAACCTGTCAAGTTTTTTTTAGCTTTTTAACATTACAGTTTATATTTTTCCAAGCACACAACAGTTTAAAGCAAAGTTTAGTTTGAAAAGAATGTGAAGGTAGGATTGAAGAGCATGTTAACACGGTAATGTGGGCTTGAGTTCATTATCTGACGCATGCATATACACACCAGGAACCTGTAAACTTAAAAAATACTGAATAATTACAAAAAACATTTAAAAAACAAACATGTTTCATTGATATATATACAAAGATGAATATTAGGAACTATATTTATCAAACATTATACTGGGCAAGTAAAAATTGTTTCTGGGCAAATGAAATGTGAATGTAGGGCCAGTGGTAAAAATCCTTAATGTCAACCCCTGAACTGACACACAAAAAAACTTCTTTTGTATGTTGTTTGTGTTCACACCACCCCAAGGCCTTGCTGCCCCCTGCATGCCAAAAACACAGCAATGGTGAAGGAGTATTTTTGTCATTGTGAGTCAGATACCTCAACACCACTATAGCGTCTGTCTCACACAGGCACCACAAAGATCTCAAACTATTGTACCCAAGTGTTTAAAAACAAAGCTCTACCACAGTTTCTTACTCTGCAATTATGGGTCAAAGCTGAATGCTAGCAGGCGCCAGGCAGTTGTTTTATCCTCTTGAAATGAATGTCTAAAGCAAATATCGTCATTTTCACACTGACAAGCAGTGGTAAGCAAATTCTAACCCAGAGTCATGAGGTGAAAATGCTGATGCTGGACTATAGAGGCCTATCTGGAACTAAAAGGATAACGGCTGCATTTTCCCCTTTAATTAGTTTAATTGTTGACTCTTTGCAAATTCAGAAAAGCAAAAAAACCAAAAATAGAAAAAAAATTGCAAATAAACAGACAGGGAATCATATGAAAAATTCAAACAACATAAGAAGAGAAACATACACTAAAATATTCTGTTTTTAAACACTTTTTACCTGCTTACATATAAACATATGCCCATAACTGTTTCCATCAAAACCCTAAATTTAAAAATATTATTTGATTTAGTTTAAGGGTTTCTTGGTATGGTTTTTAATCCTTTGTTTTGGTTTTGCTTTGAATGTGCCATGGAGATAAATTTAACATTAAAATCATATTTAAAATGTCACTAAAAAGTCTGTATTTCTGTTTGTTTTTGTGAACCAAATATATATTACCATTTCTGAGTATTGTGTATGATCTCTGACATATTGGTTATTTCAAAATAGAAATGTCTTTACCTGGTTATTTGCATCTGAATCATATTTATATCCTAAACTGTCATTTAAGATCCTCCATGCAGACTGACAGTATCTGTCTGAAAACGATGACAGTGGCACAGCTAAACTCGGCACAATGAATATGTGGCCTGAGCCGTACCAGATGGATAGGCCTCACTGTAGGCCTTTACTTTAACCCTCCGGCAATGACATGACTAATAGATAGCGCTATAAGGCAGCACCATGTGGTCCTGATCCTCCGCTCTGATGTAAGGGACAGACACTGGCAGTTGTTTGATGTAATGAGGCAAAAAGAGGCTCGTTTACCAGAACAGAGATGCAGTCTGAAAGCTTTCATGTGCAGCCTCATTCTGAATTTTCACAAAGACTAATTTTAAGCTGGAATCTTTTGTAAATCTGGCCCTGAATTTTAACTCTAAATTTAGCTTCATGATTTCAATCAGTCAAGGGTTGATATCTAGTTGACAAATCTTTCTTTTTTTGGTTCTTGTAGGTGGCTTTGCGATTGTGTTCTTGGTGAAAACAAACCAGGGAGTGCGTTGTGCCCTGAAGAGGATGTACGTCAACAATGAGCATGATTTGCAGGTGTGCAAACGGGAGATTCAGATTATGGTGAGTAGCTGATTATAGCTGTTCATTGCTTTTTGCTCCTGTGGATTTGTGTGTTGGTTAAAACTACACATCCAGACAATGGCAAAAACAAAAGTATTTAGAGAGAAAAATACATTCAGGATGCTTTACTGATGCTGGATGTATTACAGAGAAAGTACAAATGAGCTCATATTACATTATCTCAGAATGATCACATTGAGTATAAAAAAAAAAAACAATTAAGTACTGATGTTGTGCTTTGAACACAGGTCATAAATAAATATCTATGAAACGATTTAATGTTATTGAGTTTAAAAAGCCAATATGGTTTCCTTTTTCAACCAGCTGACTGGCAGTGTGCAATATCTGGTGGAGGAGGGGAGGCACCATGTTTCCAAACTTTCAGCCAATTAGGCATATTCACTGGCAGCTCTGTAAAAAGACTTTAGGAACCATACCTCTCTGAGTGTTTGTGTAAGTGTAAAGCACATTGAGGATAAAATCTGTTATTTCTATTATATGACTGCCATTTAAGCTGTGTCCATGCAGTAACCTGGCTATTTAAGCTGTGTCCATGCAGTAACCTGCTATTCAGGATAATAATGGTTATGCTCATGCGTATAGCTGCCTATAAAATAGACTTTGCAGCAGTTTAATATTAAAGAAAACATAAAAAAGACATGGTTCCATAAAACTAAAATGACAAAAAGCTTCTCCAAATTAAATACTAAATGCTTTATTTGTTTAATGCTGCAGTCAAAATAAAAAATGTTATGACTAGAGACACCTTTTAATTGTTATGCAATGCTGCAAATGGGATTCATAGCCAGAACAGCTTCCCGCAGCATTCCTAGGTAATCTTATCCCACTCCCCACCAGCAAAGTCCAGCAATTCATCAGTTTTCCCAGCTTTGCTTGCTGCAACTGCATGTTTTTGAATACCATCAGAGATATTCAATAGAGTTCAAGCTGGGCAACCATAATGGCCACTTTAGTGTCTTCCAGGATGTTTTCTAAAATGAAATCTTGGCAGATTTTCAAAACTATTGTCCGGTTTAAAAGTCTAATGGAAGCTTCAGCTTCCCCACACGCCACTGATGCAACGATCCAAATAATCCCAATTTTGATTAAACACTTGACCGAATCCAAAACCTCTTTGAATAATGTATGTAGCTATGGACAAAGGTTTTATTTTTATACTTTTTAATCCTCGTCTGTGAAAGTTACGGATCTCTACTATAAACTGACTCTATCACAGAACAGCTGAGAACGTCTGCAGCCTTTGCTTACTTTCAACAGCTGTGAAATGGAATAATTGGAAAAATGCAAAGATCTTTAAAAGGAGTTGTGTTGTTTGAGCAAAATACCTTTTAACATTATTTCTATATAAATACCATAAAACTGAAGAATTTAGCCAAAAAAAAACTACTCAGCTAAGCTGAGAGTTAAACATTTTAATCAGTGTTATCTTGTTGATTTTTGGCCCATTTATTAATGGTGATGCTTCACTTGATTATAAATAGACATGAATGCTGTGATGTCATGTCCAAACTATTTGACTGGATGGCGATGTTGGAAAAGTCTGAAAGCCTTCTTTGAGTTTAGAGTTTGCACAGGACTCTGCATTCTTTATGCCAAGGAACACAGGAAGGAAGGAAGCAATGGTTTTTGAGATTACAAACAAGCCAGATTCTATCATCCGCCATCTCTCAGTGTAATCATACATGTTGTCGGTTTACGTCTGCTTCCTTAACCTTTGCTTCTCTCTTTCACTCTTCTCACACACAAAGACTGTGCTTCACCTCCAACTGTAGTACTTGACATTTTTTTTCATTACCTAATAGACTTCTGACTCACCTTCTTTTGTAGGGAATAGCCTCAAGCTGCAGCTCTTAGCTTGCATCTGATTATCCCCACATCTTTAGCTAAAAACTATGTCAACATGTTTCTTTTATGTCACATGATTTCGTTTTTTTTTTTTTAACAAATGACACTCCTGAACCTAATTTACACGACATCCGCTCCATTTCACCCTTCAATGAACTGCACAGTAAAGACTTTAATAATAATGAGAGAATTGACGGTGTCTTGCAAGGCTGCGGCTTACTCAGGAATCACAACAGGAAACCGACCGATTACAGCATATGCAGATTTCGACATTGTTAACTGCTCACATTAGATCAACTACTGATATACAGATATTAACGTAGGTAATCAAAACCTAACGGCTCAACATTAAATCCACAAATATAAGGTACAACTACACCCTCTCTGTGCTAAGGATACCCACCTATTGTAGAATATAACTTCTACAAATAGTCGAATGCCCAAAAACAAAAAGTGAATTAGTTTTAAAGTCCATAGATGTTGTTGTGGTTTGACAAAGGTGTGATGTCTGGACACTGCTCAGTGCTGTTGTGGATTAGGGCTGGGCTATTAATTGCATTTGCAATATAATTACATTTTAATAAAACCCAATTTCAAATTGCATAAGCACTCCATTTTTGTCACATTAAAATCAACTAGCTGGCTTCCCAGCTAGTTGACATGGCTTCCCAGAGCAGAGCTGGAGGAGGTGTGCAGGGAGAGGGAAGTCTGGGAGTCTCTGCTGAGACTGCTGCCCCCACGACCGAGTCCCGGGAGAAGCTGGAGATGAAGAAGAGCACGAGTAAAACCCTAAATTTCTCACTCCAGCTCATTACTTGGCAGTAATATTCTTAAGGTGGGGTTTTTTGCCACACAGATGGGAAAAGAGAGTTGAAGCTAGCACACAAATCCAGCTTAAAAATAATCTCAACTTGGGTCAAATTGTTCAACCCTATTGTTGAAAATGTGAGTAAGAAGTTTGCAGTGCAGTGTAGTGAAGCTGGAGTTCCTTTCAATTGGGAGTAAATTTGGAGAGGAAGTGGACGGCTATTCTAGCAGGTTTTTTGTGCGTTATCTGTGTGTGTTGTTGTATTAATGATTGTGTATGTTTATTTTTTTTTTTTTCCTCCTGCAGAAAGACCTGGTCGGCCACAAGAATATCGTAGGTTATCTGGACTCCAGTGTCACAGCTATGGGATCCCGAGACGTCTGGGAGGTTCTCATACTGATGGACTACTGCAAGGGTAAAGGGTTATACTTGCATCTTTGATTACTTGGTAACTCTAGATTCAGGTGTTATTTAATATGAGCAATGGTTTGCTTAAGATTGAAAAGCATTTAGCTTTTTCATTTTTTCAAGTATTTGTTGGGTTATGTGGCAAACTAAGTGAAACAAAAATCTTATAAGGTTCCTAAAATCATTCCAAAATCATTCTTGTAGACACTATTATTCTTTTTGCAGGTCTTTAGGGAAATGTCTCTACCAGGTTTGGATATCTAGATCTAAAATTAGTGAAACATCTTCATTACATAGTAGCTCAGTCTCAGTCAGATCAGATAAAAAAAAAAGCATCTTTGAACAATAATCTTGAAGATTCTAAAATTGGTTTTGGGGCTGGACTCTGAGTAGGTCATTCTACTCCATGAAAATGCTCTAAATGTAAATATGGGAAGGAGTATGCTTTTGATTAACCTTATTTAACTGTAAGTCTGCTTGCATGTTTACCGTCGTCACCCTGTCAGTGTCGACCCCCACCCCAGTTTATAGTTAATCCTCCTACAGGCTTTCCTCACGTATTGCCCTGTATCTAGAGAGTCCTTCTCTCATCTATGACCAACGTGAAAAATAGTGTTAGATTGGCTGCCACAGATAAAAAAGGCTATTAGTCCTCGCTTCAGCTGTCTGGGGTTTATTTCCTGACCTTGGGGGCTTTTCTTGTTTGATTGTTGTTATCCTGTCTGAATACCATGAGGAAAAGTTGATTAGTTTTCTTCTAACTTAAAGCAACACTGCAGCACAACGCTGCCACCACTATTGGTAGTGTTATGTTCAGAATTGATGGGTAGTGTTTGTGTTGAAGGTACCTTAGCACCTTTTATCCACCTGTCTTCTGTACTCTAAATCAGCGGTCCCCAACCTTTTTTGCTCCATGGACCGGTAATATGTCAGACAATTTTTTCACGGACCGGCCTTTAAAGTGTGGGGGGGATAAATACGATTAAATAAAATGATACGACTGGCATAAAATTAAATACAAACTGCATAAAAATAAAACTCACCGTTATGTTGAATTAGTGGGAGCCCTGAGCTTGTTTCTCCGAAACAAGCCGGTCCCATCTAGGCATAATCGGAGACAATGACACATTAAGTGTGCTCCTGATGTCTAGTCTGCTCCGTAGCTTTGTTTTGGTCGCTGTAACCGCAGAAAATCCCGCTTCACAAAGATAGGATGTTATAGATAGGATGCGTCTTGACCTGGTTTTGTACTGGGAAATCCATAATCGGAAAACAAAAATTTTCCTGATTTTCAGATAAAATCAGCGTGGATGTGGTACAATACAAAAACATATTCATATAATCGCATCTCTGGACACTTCCAATAAATCTCCCTCTTTGTTATTGGTTATAATATATGCATGATATTTTGGCAATAAACCTGCTCTTAAACCACAAGGCAGCTATGACGAGGACAACAACACAACAGCTGAGGTACGCAGCTAAGTTGTAAACAGTACCACTCTTGACCAGGAAGTGGGAGGTTTGAGGTATTCCATCAGATCTTTATGGCTTTTTATTTTAATGCAATTTATTTGCATAATGACAATGAACTCTGGAATAGGGAAAATAACCATAAATACAATACTTCTGACCAAAAATAAATGCTGCGAAGTCTCTAAAGGCTGAAAAACAAAACCGAAAGGGGAGAGGGGCTGAATCAGGAAAGGACAGGGAAACTTTTTCAAGGCACTATTGTGTCAGTATGGATGTAGCCAAAACAAAACAGATTTTAATTAGAAAGCCTGAACAATTGTTATCTACATCATTAAATGCTGTTTTCAGGGGGGCAGGTGGTGAATCTGATGAATCAGAGACTTCAGACTGGCTTCACGGAGTCTGAGGTGCTTCAGATCTTCTGTGACACCTGTGATGCAGTATCTCGCCTGCATCAACGAAAGGCACCCATCGTCCACAGAGACCTCAAGGTGACGTCTTTAGACACTTTTAGTTTTTTTCTGACATGTCGACGTTGTTTTTATTTTAAGCTTTATAATTATTTTAACACAGACTTGGTTTCCCGTTGATTAAGCCCTAAAGGAAACACTGCTGGCAAGGTGAAGTCTTAAATACAGTGAATCTGAGCTCTGTGGACTTTAATGTGTAAATGGCTTGTAATGTACAACTCTGTACTACATACAGAGATGTACCTAGAGAGATGACATCCAATGTAATTGTGATCAGCTACCAACAGCAGCTCCTTCTATGCATCACCCTGCTGAAACATCCTTTGAAAAGCAATGATAAGTCTGTTGGTGTGAGAGGAAACTTCCTTTAATTATTCATTGGTCTAAGAGCAGATGAGAATAACTTTTAAGCGAGCTTGAAGTAACTTCACCTGCTGCCCATAGAGCCATGAAGCTGTATTGATTTTAAGTCCTCTCTCAGATATTTTGACATAAACTGAGACGCATCATTTTTGCAGCTGAGGTTTGTTCCAATTAATCCTGGAAGGTTTGTTATTTATCATTGCTTTGCAGTAATAAAAGTATTAGATTTTCATTCAGTATCTCTCAGCTTTGGGGGCGTTTAAATCTACCTAATGTTATCACTAATGCACTTCTTGCAAAGATTAAATTCTGTTTTGTGGATCTCTGTTTAGAAAAACCCAAACTGTCCATGCATCTACAGGTGGAGAACATCTTGTTGCATGACAAAGGTCATTACGTGCTGTGTGACTTTGGCAGTGCCACCAACAAGTTCCAAAACCCACAGACCGAAGGGGTGGCAGCTGTAGAGGAAGAAATCAAAAAGTTTGTGCCTTTTAACATTTTAAATGTTTTATTTTTTATTATCTCTTCTTGTAAGTTATGTTGACTTATTTTAGTTAATGATTTTTACAGAGACTACACTAATTTATTGATTTCTGAAGGGATGGGATTTCATGTCAGGGTATAAAAATGTGCTGATAAAGATGCAAACCTATATTTATATTTTTTTTCATTTCCTCCCTATATACAGTTATATGCTAAAGCTGCTTTCACACCAAACGCAGCAGGAGCAGCAGAAACAGCTAGTTTAAATGCAAAGTCAATGGTTGATGGGCGTCAAGACGCAGCAAAATGTCCTGCAGTGAGTTTTGAGCTGCAGGCGCAGAGTGTCTGAGCAGCTTTTGCTGCTTGATGCGCCGCATCAACCAATCAGAGAAGCTGATCTGGGAGCTGGCAGGGAGACAAACACATCTAAATCAACTTAAAATGCAAAACATGTTCGCTTTTATTATCCTGGTGCCTGCAGTTTGGATTACAGACATGAAAACCGCTTTCCAGCCGCCGATGCGAACCGCGAGGAGGCGACCGGACCATAGGCTGCTGTTGAATAGGATTCCTACTGACAGCGCACTGAGCGGCTCCGACAGAAATAGTATTGATGGTAATCTGGATGAACAGACTGCACAGATTAAGTTTTCAGTTGGATTCTCCCACTTAAAAACATATTAAAACTACTTTATTCCCACTGATCACAGCAAATATAGCTGCCAGGCAAAGAAAGGACAGGGTAGCTCTGCCCAGTGCGCGTCAGGCCCTCTTTTCCACCACGCAGCCAGAGCAGCAAAGCTGCTTCAGCCGCGTGTCAGAACTAAACTGGTACAAGCAGCAAAAAGGAAGCAGCAGACGCGTTTTTGCTGCTCCTTCTGCATTTGGTGTGAACGCAGCTTAAGTGTTGTTTAAGTATATAAAATCCCAGTTAAAAACATTAAAGTTTGTGGTTATACTGTGACAAAATACAGGCATACTTTCCTTTAACTTGTTCCTGCATGGCTGCTTTTTTTTATTGCAATTTAATAACATTGTCATAATTATTTCGTATGTTTCTTTTTTAAAACTCTCCTCAGGTACACCACACTATCATATCGAGCTCCAGAAATGGTGAACCTCTACAACAATAAGATCATAACCACAAAGGCGGATATCTGGGTGAGCAGAAATGAACGTCCTCTGTGGTGTTAGCACCTTGATCACTGTCCTGTTAAATTGCGTTATGTTCAGTTATAAATGAATCCATAAAATCGACAACTTAGTCATGTTTATTGGGTCTAATTGTGTTGAATAATTTAGGAATCTTTTTTGCGCTTCTGGTTTTGGAATTATGTTTCTGGACTTATTAATTCCCTCTGTTCTGTCCCTGGGTGTGCATGTGGTTTTTTTATTTCTCCAGGCGCTGGGCTGTTTGCTCTACAAGTTGTGCTTCTTCACCCTCCCCTTTGGTGAAAGCCAGGTGGCCATCTGTGATGGCAGTTTCACTATTCCAGATAACTCGCGCTACTCTTACGATCTTCATTGCCTCATTCGTTAGTACCTGTTAAATGATATTCACTGCTCTTAGTCCAGAGTTTTTGGTTTTATTTCCTTCTTTTTTTATTGTATTTTGATTTTTTTTAACTCACTTTTTTAGGGTATATGCTGGAGCCAGACCCTGACAAAAGACCTGATATTTACCAGGTGTCCTACTTTGCTTTTAAACTAGCTCAGCGAACCTGCCCTGTTCAGAATGTGAAGGTCAGTCTCTCTCTCTCTCTCTCTCTCTACAACAAATATTTTGCACAAGTTCTGGAAAGAAATGTCTGAAACGAATAGGTTATGATTTCTATAGTATTTTGAGAAAAGTTTTTAACAGTAATGATCTTACCAGTTGGTTCTGGAGGCTGGAGCCAGCGACCGAAGCAGAATTTAAAAATATTGTAAAAGGTTTCTAATCTCAAAATCATCTTTGCAATATACAATTACCCCGTTTTGTGAATTTTTAAAATATCGTCAGGTTTACATTATTATTTAGTTCTACACTTGTGTAACTCATTATTTATACAGGAAGTGAAGGTAGAGGGCAGTATGCCATCAGTGATCTTTCACTGAGAATAGAGCATGTAAGCAATTTTTATCACATTCACTGCTTGATTTAAAAGTAAGGTGAATGCTATCTTTTTTTTTACACTGCTTAAGTTTGTTAACTCTTCTAGTTAACTAAAAAGTCGAATACATTATCAGTTATTTATCAACAGTTTATCATTCTCATGTGTCTAACTCTGATTTACAATCTTTAACTTAGTGTGAGTGAGGAAAGGACAAACAAGGACAGCAAACAAAGGGTTCAGAACCAGCTTTAATCTTCCAGCTTTTAAAACCAGAATAGCCTCAACAGAACTACAGAGTTCCTTATGATATTCCGAAGCCAGCTTCTTATCTCTGCTCCCATGGCTCCCTCTGGCTCCCTCTGTCGACTGGAGCGCAGTCTCTGCTAAACAGTTTTGTTTGCCTGGAAAGTCACTCTGAGACTGGCACAGTGTCTGCTCTTTTGCAGGCGTTGGATCTCTGGAGGATCCTCATCTTTAGAGCAGAGTGTGATACTTAGTAAAAAAAAACGCTATGCGACACTCGGCACATATTCAAGACCTGGATGACAAAAAACATCTTATAGGATCTTTAGATTAAATAGATAAATGTAAAGTAGCATATGGTTTAAGCTAATTTTGGAGACTGAATCTGCAAACCAGTCCTCTCACTAACCTCAGCAGGCTAAATCCTCTTAATAGATATTAGCATCATCATTCCTCAGACTCATCAGCTCATCTGGAACTGATGCATCCAGGAGAGGATTTATTATGAAGGACCGTTCAGAAAATGGCAGGAAGAATTTGGGCAATATGATTTATTCTGTGTTAAAGAGCCAGTAAACATATATATTCTACTAGTTTTGAAACCACTTCAGTTTATTAAACAAACCTTTACTCGCTCAAAAATGTCAAAAAGCCGGACACAACCCGTATCTGAGACTTCTTTCATTTAAGTATTTACATTTAGTGTCACCACATCAACGGCAAACAGTATTCAACGTTACAAATAATGGATTAGTTTAAAGCTTGTTTGACTTTTTAAATCAGTTACATTTAATTATCAGCTTTACTTAAACATGTGTGGGTAATCTTAAGCTGTGCCTTTTGGCTTTCACATTAACTGATTAACTAGAAACACCCAATGAGTTCACTAAGAAAGGCAACATGAAAATCTCTGGTCCCTACCTGCCTAAAGTATTTTAACATAAAAGTAGACCCCTCAATTAAAATTAGCTGAATAAAGCAAGTATTTATTTATTGTTATTAGGGACAGATTTATATATTAGTAATTGTAATCCTTTCTTTCTAAGAAGACATGTCAAGACCCTTTTTTAGGTTGTGGCTTTCGAGTCATCCAGTGATCCTTTTATCTGCTTATTCCAGGCTAATTTGCTCATGTAAAAAAAAAAATGTATAAATAGAATTTTTCTTTCATATACATATTCTTGTACTTTCACTTTGGCTATTTTAACCATTTTACAGAAAGAATGGACAAGGTTTCCATAAAACACTGTTTTCATACAACCCAAGCCATCAGATCTTAATTTATACTATGAACCTTTTACTAAAATCTAGCTTCAAAAGTCTTCAATGAATGGCAATAGCCTTTATTTTTCTTGGTTTCATTATGTAAGTTCTGTCCAGATTTCCTTGACAAGATTTGATTTTTCCTCCATAAACTAGAATTCTTCAATCCCTTCCACACTTCCTGAGCCAATCAAAGCGAGCGAAGCTGCTGCAGCGAAGAAGAGCCAGACTAAGTCCAGGCAAGCATGACCTCATTACTTTGTAATACCCTTAAAGCTGTAGTGACACCACGTTTTGTGGAACTAATTACTCCCAGTTAATACATATCCTGATACTCATTATACAATTATGTTAACTGTGTTTTGCATGATTAATTTAAAGAGAATTATGCTTCTTTTTTTTCATCAGACTCACAGATCCAATTCCCACCACTGAAACCTCCATCACGCCTCGTCAGAGGCCCAAAGCCGTGCACACCCAGGCGGCCTCTGGGATCCTTCCCATTCAGCCTGCTGCTCTCACCCCTCGCAAGCGGGCTAATCTCTCTGGGGCTGCAGCTCAGCCTGTGGGTACGTGCTTTACTCCGCCGTTATTTTTTTAAATTATTATTATGACAAGAAACATTTTCTATCAAAATTTATCTAGATGCATGAATCCTCCAACATCAGTTTAAAAAAGTTATGTTCTGCTGTTCTTAATAGGAACAGATGAAGTGTCTACAGGGATGCATTTAAAAGTATAAAGCAAACATCCACTGCAATTATTCTCTGCTTCTTTTTGTAATCTCTGTTTCTGCTTCAGCTGATATCAGATTCGTGTTATAAGGTGTTGGCTGATCATTTGATTCTCCTTTAGAGATTTCCATTACTATGAATGTGAATATTTCAGTATTTGCAGCTTCATGTGAAACTGTACAATTGTGCATGATGGAAAATGATCTTGATGCTGTTGAGTGATGTGCTGTGTATCCATTTTGCAGGAGTCAGTTTAAACCTCTCCCAACCAGCTGCAGCTCTCCAGTCCCAGAAGGCACAGACGTCAGCTCAGCCCTTCATTCAAACACAAACCAGCTCAAGTCAGGCTGCAGTGCTGCAGAAGCAGGTACAAGTGCAGTCCTGAATTTCAATCCTGAAAATCCAAATTTTGTTTTCCTATTGTGAGAAAAAACAGTTGGAAATAATAAATCGTCTTCATCATTTTATAGGGATTATATAGATATGTTGTTTCTTGAATATACCAGGCCTGATTGTTTCTTCTTGAGTGAAACCAAATTGTGTGCCTTGTATTTGTGCATCAGAGTGTTCAGCCAGCTGCAGCTGCTGGAGCAGAGACCACAGCATCGCAAGTGGCCAGGGCAGACGCTGCAGCAGCAGCACAGCCAACATCCGAGCAACAGGCCTCTCCGTCTGTGGTTAGCTCTGCTCCCACACAGACAGCACAGACTCCGCCCAGCCCGGCGGCGCCTCAGCGCCCAGCTCGTCGAAAACAGCCAGCTCAGGCTCAGCAGCCAGAGGTTCCACCTTCGCCGAGCAAACCGACACCAGGGCAACCAGCAGCAGCTCAGCCGCAGGAAAAACCAGCTCCAACTGAATCCGTTCCCCCTGAGACCAGTCAAAAAACAGCTCAGACTGTAATTTACCTCTATCCTTTAAAGCTGATGGACTTTACATATTCATCATACATTACATTTGCTGATATTTGATAGTATAGTTAGTTTTCTTTATTTTTTCATTTTTTACCAGACTCCACCTGCGACATCTGAGGACCGAGATCACAAACGTTTGCCGAGCGACGCAGCAGCAAATGTTGCTGCAGCCCCAGTCATTGACTCTACACAGCCACTGCAAGGAGCTAATGGAGGCGATGCAGTCAGTCAGTAAGTGCCATTTTAATGAAATAAAGGTTTCAAAGCCTCATTCAGTTAAATTCAATATATTTATTTAGCACCAATTCACGAGAAATGTAATTTCAAGGCACTTTACAGAGTCAAGAATCGAATCATGCAGACAGACTGGATAAAAAATGTTCCATCTAAACCTGGTACTGTGTTACCAAGCATGATGAGCAGGTTTCTATTGTTGATGTTGCTGCTGTGTGCAGTTCTCTAACACACAATTGAAACCCCTGTTTATTTGGAGAATTACTGTTAACTAATGTACCTGTCACTTAAACCATCTAGTTCCAAAGAAAACATAAAACAATTACCAGAGATCATCTATTGTATTTATTAATGTTGCACCATTTAAGGATATTAACAGACTTTCCGACAGTACAGAATGTATTATCTTTAAGTGTGTATTAAGAGGCATTCCTGAACCCATCAAATGTTTGAGCAAACACCTATGTCTATACTTTTTTATAATCAGTGTAAAATGCAAACATAGTTTATACAATATCTGTCCTAACTTCTACAGTATTCTTCATATATACATATGAGGAAAAAACTAGTGTAATGCACAAAGAAAAATTGAAATTTAAGTATACATTTTTTTCTACAAAATGATTTTAGAAACTAGGAATGTCCTGATCTGATATTAGTAGAAATTGGTCTAATATCAGCCAAAAAAATGTGAAATATCAATTAATGGCCTACATATAAACCTCTGGTATAAGCATGCTGATAGAAAAACTTCCTCTACCCACACCTGTTTAAAGTTTATGGAACCTCTAGTTAATAATTAACAGCTGTTCTCATAACTATTGTTTTAAAATATTGTTTCAGTAATATAATTTAATCAAACCTTTTTATAATATGTCACACTACAAAATAAGCTTTTAGCCTTTCACACAAACCTCCGCAGACTGTGCTCACACTGTTAGCTGTACAGCGTCTGCATAGACATTTCGGCCCTCATGGTTGATCATTACTATTCCTGTTTCTCATGACAAATGCCATCAACTCCCACACTGTCATGGAATCATTTGACGAGTTCGACTTCTAGCTTTACAAAAATCAAAGAAACAAAGTCTAGCTGGGTGCTTTGCATTGTTTCCTCTCTACAAGAGCACCAGCCGCACACCTGTCGGGGCGATAAATAAAGAGGCTGAGATGCTGTGGGTCTTTAAGACTGGCTGCTCTGAGCAATGATTCACTGCCAGCTATTGTTCATGTGACATTTAAAATGGTTCAGTATGAATATCTTTTGATTTCTTGTTGAATACTATGAACACTGGAGAGCTACATTCCAGCCGAGCAGCTAAGTGAGACACCTCCTCTGCAATCGTGAAAAGTTTGGTCTGTGCAAACCTATCCATGCAGATACCAACTTTAGTTGAGTTCAGACATTCACAAATATCTGTTTGCACGTGGAGCAAAATGGGCAGAAACTATATATACATCTGTTTTTAGATTATTTTTTTTTTCTTATAGATCACCTGCATCTCAACCAAACACAGTTGACCCTGTTCAGCCGAGCGTTTGCGATCCAACAAAGGACCAAAACAAAGTTACAACCCCTGGTTCTGCATCTGGTTCCAACAACATCTCCTCACAGCCAGCTTGGAACCCGTTTGACGACGACAGCTTCTCCAAATTCACAGCTGAGGAATTCAAAACTGATGACAAAAATACTGCAGGTAGAATTTATACATGGAGTTTGGTTCAGATGCTACAGATGCTGATGCTATACAGAACTGATTTAAGATTGAAACTGAAAGACGGCATTGTATCATTAAGGTTAAATTCTATTTAGTTTTACTTTAACAAAACGATTAAATTCATATTTTCTTTCTTTAATGACAGATATGCCATCAGAGACTGAGACAGCCTCCTCTGAAGAGCTGATTCCAGGTCTGCAGACCGCCTCTGTGGAAAACACTCCTCAAGGGACAGGTATTTACAAACTCCAGTATTTTCTACTTGCTTAGAATTTTGGACCTGCACCCGTCAGATCCTTCACTTCTTTGAAATTGTGTTTTGATGTAAAGAGACAGTCCAGAGATGAGAACTTGAAACGTCTCCATCAATGGTGCAACGACACGACAATAGGCCCATAAGCAACATTATCTGGGTGGGCCCCATATGAAGTACAACACGTGATAAAGGTTTAGGATACGGCGACAGTTCCATCAATAGGCCAGGAAGATACATTTATGCAATTATTCTCAGTAGTATATGATCACACATCACACACGGAAAAATAGTGACTAGGCACCTTGAATGGAACCATTTGTGACAGCGCACCACCACATGTTACAGACATCCCAAGTAACAAAAACTGATTGATTTCGGGAATCCGCTTAAGTACCTCTTTTTTTTTTTTTTTATCCATCGTCGCTAACACATTGTACGTAACTGTTATGGTTTTAATCTTTGCTCTGGATTATCCATAATTCCAAGTTGTAGTGTAAAAAATAAAATACACAAATACATTGTTCTTTTAATTTTAATATTTCAGTTTGAAACATATTATATGAGTGTATTTTTTACCAACTGTCTAATGAACTATACACAGTTATTAACATAGTAATTAAAGGTAACACTGTTTGCTTTGCTATTGGTGTCGTGTTTAAACGGCTCACCATCATGTTGAAATCTGGCATGTGTTGCGGTATAAATACGGTCCGGTGCAGTCAGTCTCTTTAGTATCAGGTGGGTTTAAGAAGAATTTTTCGCACCGTTACATTTTCAAAGAGACGTCCTAGTATACAATTGTGTAGGGGGCCTACGCAATTGTAAATCAGGTGTCAGTGATAGGGCCCCTAAGAGGTCGTGGGCCCGTAAGCAATTGCTGTCTCTGCTTACAGTACTCATATTCACGCTATTGGTCTCCAGCTAAAAGTGCTAAACAAAACTGTAGGGTTCACTTGGAAAAAGTCCTTTTAGCCCTGAATCATGATGGCAACTATCCTGCAACAATTAGTTGTCACAAAATTTAAATGTGCTTATACAAGTTAAATAAAATAAAAATAATATTTATCTTTTAAGGTCAGCTGAAATTAAAATTCTAATGTTAGACAAATCTCTGTTGTCAAAAGACTGCAGATATTTTTAATTCAAAATCTCCAGTTCATAAAAAAAAACTCACATCTAACTAAAACTACTAAAATTAAGACATTTTATAGCCTGAGAGCTAGTTAGAAACATCTCAGATGAGTTTCTAAAGGTTCTGGAGCAGGTATATGGGACATCACTCCTATGTAATAAACTTTATGTTTTTATTATCTTATCTTAAATCTTAAATTAGATTTGTCACTTATTGACTGTTTGTGTGCGTCACAGAAAATTTTCCATTTTAAATAAATTTTTGTCATAATGAACCTTGCTTGGTGTCTCCTGTAAATAATTAAATACATTTTTAAGAATGACTAAAAACATCAATGGCAGTGATGCAGTTAACCAAGTGAAGACTATGATGACGAAAAAAGGGATTTTTCAAGTGGTTAAGAATTTAGACACAGCACTTAATTGGTGTCCTTTTAGTATGAATAATGTATGTAAAGGTCAAACTCCTTTTGCTTTATGTTTTTAAGCCAGAATGTTCAGTTGCATTTTATTCTGATTTCAAAATCTTTCCTGTAATTTTTGTCGTTGTGTCCTAGCTGAACGACCATCTGCTCTTCTGGAATCAGGAGCGTCTCTTTTGGTTGTCCCAGATCCTTTTCACACCCTTGAACTGTCAGATGCTCCTGGTAAATGCCTCTTTGTGTTGATAATGACTTCTTTGGTTGGTTTCCCATACCCCTCCTATACATTTTAAGCAGCTAAAAACCTTTTTTTATCTTCATAAAAATCAGAATTTTTGTGAATGGATAACAGGAATTTTAGAAATTACCAGGATAAGGATGATGCTGATAATCACAGGTTTATGTACAGTTTGGAGAATCTAAGGGTTTGGTTTAAAAATTCTATCCCATTGTCCAAGTCATCCATCTATCCATCCTGCTGCTTTTTCTGTTGTCTGGATGATTTTAACTATTTGATCAATGACTTTTGTGTAAGTTTTTCATTATTATCTATTCTGGCCTACAGAGAAGCTGATTGAAGGACTCAAATCTCCTGACACCTCTTCCCTAATACTTCCTGATCTGCTGTCATTGTCTGATCCGTTTGGAGGGTCTGTGGAGTCTGTTCAAGGTAGAACTTTTTCTTTTTATTAAAGTTTATCACGAGAACAAAAAGCAGAAAAACACAATCAGTGTTCTTGACAACACTTTAACTCCATGAAAAATCTAGTTCAACTTTTTGCACAAATAGAAACATTAAAAACCTAAATACGTATGTAAAGTAAAAGTGGAATGATAGGCATCATAATCATCAGCTGGTTTCATATGAATCAATAAAAATCAGTGTTTTCTTTGGTATCCTGGGATATATTTGTTTTTCCTTGTCATGCATCAATGGGGAGAACATGGAAACCCAATGGAGAAAGATCCTAGCCTCGTAACCGAACCATGGACCTTCGTGTTGCATGGTATCAGTGACACAAACTGTCACCATGACAGCCTGTAATTGTCTGCATTCAGCTATAATTGCAGCTTTGAAGTTTTTCTCTTTGCTGCCCCTGGTGGCCAAATAATTCCATATTATTGTCAGTTATTTCATTCAATTGACAGTAGGGGTGTGGGAAATAATCGTTTTGGCGATATATCGTGATATTCGGCTGCCCGATATAATATCGATCTTTCACGACGGGGCGACAG